TGCACATCCGCAAACTTTTGGATGCTGATAGGCATTGAAATATGGTGTATATCGCAACAACAGAATTGAAGTGTGTAGGAGAAAGTCCTTGTCCCTACGTCCAAAAATTGTTGTATATTTGCTATCATGTGCACTATGGTACAAATGCGAATACTCATACATTGAAGCGCTCAAATAAAAAACTAAGGAACGGAAGGTAATCATGGGATGGAGTAGTCCATATCGGTGATTCAAGTGGCTGTTTCTTTTTCTCTGCCACGTATATAGATACATGCGTATATACATACGTACTAGTCGCTATTCATATTCACGTTTGAATACATAAAAACAGACAAGCACAGAAGTTGGTGGAGCAAGGATACTCTTGGGGTGGGGCAAGTTCATGCCTAAAATTACTTCCAGGACCCTTTTGCGTCCTTTGTAAAACATCGCGATGCATTCTTGCATACATACTGCATACTCACACGCCGGTAATGGATTGTATTTGAATATATAATGAAATTCAGACACAGAAATTGAGGAACAACGGATAATCATGGGGTGGGGGAAGTCCATGCCTATACCTCCCGTGCCGTTCTACGTTCATTCCAAGGAGGCAGAACTAGCCATCACTGCGAGTGGCTTGCCTTTTAATGCACAAGTGCGGAAACGCAATATAGGCAAGTGTCTACAAAATTTGACACGTATATGTATTTGTTCTAGTGAGGGAACGCAATATAGTTATGTGCCTATAATGCATAAACACGTATATGTATGTGTTCTAGCGAGGGAACTCAATACAGATAGATAGTTAACATTTAACCGTTTGAACAGGTACACGTATATGCATGTGCTCTATATAAGTTTGTGGACCTCTACTGTTACTCATTTGAATACGACCATATAGAGAATGAATGTGTTTTGAGATGACGAAACATATGTAAGCTTTAAGGACACATGTGAGGCACCTCTCTGTCGCTCGTTTCAATACGGTTACAATCCTGCATGTGCTATTAAGTATTGCAAAATAGTACGCATTGCAAGGCACATCTAGTATGTGCACAACTGTATGCACCTCTACTGTCACTCCTATGAATGCGCGAGCATACGCATGTATGTATTTTGAGAAAACCTATTGCCTGTGCCATCTCAGAGGCGATGCTTATAGGCCAGTTTTGTGTATCCGCAATCCCGGCTTTTCTACCCAATTCAATCTGTATGGGCTCTCACACTGAACTACAGACAATTCGAAACCCAAGCCCGCGAGATATAATAATGTGGCCGTGCCTGCTTCTCTTCTCATGGACTCAAGCATCGACGGAGACCCTAAGAAGTATGTCATTTTCCCGTGCATGTGCACTGTTTGTAATAGTGAATGAAAATACTTCACTTCTCGTAAACTCCAGCATTGACGGGGACCTTTTTGAATTTTCATTTCAACGTGTATGGCATTTCCTGTGTATGTGCACTGTTTGTGATAGTGTACGAAAGGTACTTCACTTCTACTTCTCATAACCTTCAGCATTGACAGGGACCCTAATATGTATGTCATCTAAACGTATATGTTAGCATATGGAAATAGATTTCTTTTCGTGGACTCAAACCTTGCCAGAAACATTAATGAGAGTGCCTTTTTTTTCGCGTATGTTCACTGCGTTTGCTAGTACACGGTAAATGCATTCTTTCTCTGGACTCGATTTTTGACGGAGACCCTAACAAGTATGCTGATTGTGTACTTTAGTCCCACATTGCCCGTCAGAATTACAGGAATAACATATTGCAATAAAAATCATCTAAATCCTATAATATATAGATATATATATATATAAAGTGTGTGTGTGTTCTTGTATATGTATAGTATGTGTGTGTGTGTGTGTGTACGTTATTAGTATACGTTAACAGTACATGCCCTTTTGCCATAGTAAGATCTATTCG